AAACATCGGATCCCCCCGCCCAAAGACCCAACGAATGGCTTCTTCAACTGGCGGCCTTTCCCAGATTTCGGCACTCGGGAACCGTTTTCGGGCCCCGACGCCATCAGACATGGACCTAGGACGAAGGACTACACCCTGCGAAATGCTTAAGAAATCATGGGTTAAGAATTTCATAGTCTCAGAATTTGAATAAAAACCCAGAACTTCTATCATAATCTTGGGATTTACATTGAAACGTTAAGAATAATCAAGACTCTGGCCGAAAGCTTAGGTTTTCTTAAGCATCGCATAAGGTGTACCCCCCCCACCTCACCCCCTCTGACGACGACGACGACGGAGAAGACCGAGGCGACGACAGCAACGGGGACGCAGAGGACGACGCTGGAGACGACGGCGACACCCGAGGCCGCGGTCCTCGTGGAGGCCGAGCTTCCTCTGCAGATCCGCCTTGTTCTTCCGCCTGGCCTCCTTGGCGGGGGGGGCGCGCCGCCAGGAGCTCGTTAAGGACTTCACGACTCGTGCTGTCCCTCGACTCGTGTCGGGCGATTTGCTCCAGACATCCCTGGAGATCTCTTGATTTGCCTATTTGGCTATAGTTGGATTCACCCCCGTTAATATCCTGTTGGCCTTGGTCAGATAGCGTACACCCTGCGAAATGCTTAAGAAATCATGGGTTAAGAAATTCATAGTCTCAGAACTTGAGTAAAAAACCCCAGTGTCTACTAAAAAGTTAGGTTGTCCGTTGAAACAATAAGAATAATCAAGACTCTGGCCGAAACCCTACGTTTTCTTAAGCATCGCCTAGGGTGTACAACATCGGTCTCCGAAAAGCAAGCTATCCCTGCGAGGCGATGCCCCCGCCAAGGCCCCGTCCGTGCTGGCGAGCCCCCCTTTCCAGAGCTTCTTCGGTGGGGGAGACGGCGTGTAATAAAGGCGGGCCGGCGGCGTCACAATTGAACGCCCGGCCGTCACGTGTGACTCGGTGTGTGTGGCCTGATCCCCGCAAGGCGGCTCGCGAGGAGTCGTCGAGCCCCTCGGACTCCTCCTCGGCTTTCGTCTCCTCGCTCGTCGCTGGGAGGCAGCAGCGGGCCCAGTCCTCCAAGAGGCGTCGCGCCTCCTCGTCGCCGTCCTCCACCTCCCTCTCCTCCCCCATCGCGCTCCCGATGCTCCAGATGCACCTCCTGCTGTTCCCGATGCTCATCATCCCTCCCGCTCGTCGCCGCCGCTGTCGTCGTCATCGTCCTCGTCCACATCCTGCTCATTCCACCCCTCGTCGTGGCGGGCAGGAGGGCACGAAGCAGGCTGAGGAGGAAGACGGGGAGGAGGACATGGGTGGAGGGGGCGGAGGCGGAGAAGACGAGGTGGGGGACAAGGAGGTGGAGGATGCTGGGGAGAACGATGAGGAAGAACGAGGAGGACAACGATGAGGGCAGGAGGATGGAACGGGTGGGAGGAGAGCCGAGACTCCGAGACGGCGACGGTGGGGAGGATGTGGAGGATGATGAGACGAGCAGGAGGAAGACGAAGAGTGGTAGCAGGAGAGAACCTCCCCCCCATTCCCGTGTTGTAGAACCCACGAGGGAACCACTGCCCCCCCACGTAGAAAGAAGCACGATGCCCATTCCCTCTGCGCGCCCACTGGTGCCTTCCTCGCCTCCTCACCGCGACCCTCCCCCCGCCCATGCGCTGCATCGCGTCCCACCTCCTGCCCTTCTCCCGGCCTCCTGCTCCTTGCTGCCTTCCTCTCCCCCCGCTGCCTCCGAGCCCTCCTCTCCCCCCCATCCCCGGCAGCCAGGAGCCAGCACGCAAAGCCTCTCCTCTCCTTCCCAGGACGCGGGCGGACGTGTCGCCCCACTCGAGCACTGCCTCTCCCAACCTCTCGCCATCCCACTCCTCCTAGACTCAGGTTGCTCCCATCGTACGTAAGGACCACATCCACGAAATAATTTCGAGCACGCAGAAAAGTATCGAGCCAGTGTCGAACGAATATCGACTCCCAGGGCCCGACACTTGAAAACCTTCCAGTTACGGTGCTGTCTTGGTTCTGGGTGCTCGGAATTATTGCTGGTGGTCGAGGCTAAAGTAGGTTGGAGCATAATAATCCTAGACGTGCAGTACTTCTCCCGTCGCTCCCTCCTCCCTATACCAGTCCTCCGCCCCATCCATCTGTGCCATTCAGATAACAATCGTCCTGCAAAAAAGAAGTCTCGATCATGGGCCATTCCCCAAGACCACGTGCTCATTCTGAGTAGCTGCTCGGCAATCCAGGGCCCGAAGGGCCCTAAGAGACTGACAATGGCAACGGAAGCTTCACGCACCAAATCCAATACAACATTCGAGACAAGGTGCGACTGGTTTCGATGCTAATTCACATTCCATACAGCTTCCACGTCCGAAACAACCTCCAAACACTATACCAAAGGATGTCAAAATGCGTTCGGAATCAACTCTGGCTTTAACTTGGACCAACCTCGACTACCAAAAGTCGCCGGAAAGAGGCCCCACAAAGACGCCCCGACATTGTCGCCAAGGTCAAGCTCCAGCATTGTCTCTAAGAGAGTCCCAGACTCCCACAACATCAAACACGAAGAGCATTACCAGGGATGTTCCCAGACCTGCGATGTCATGATTTGTTCATGACGCCGCCCATCAGAGGTCTGGACCCAATTCCCCAGACTGGTTTTCCATCCTGAGTCTTTTTTGGACGGTCCAGAGGCCCGGTGAGGGCCCCCGGGGGCCGTCAATAGCGCAAAACCTCGAGGCGTGTTGTTTCGCACCGCGAGGGGGTCGGGGTGACCCAACCCCGAGCCTGGACCCCCTGAGGGCGCAAGAACTCTGCGACGGGTGCGCAAACGCACGACTGGCAGGCGGCAGTGGCACACGCTTTTCACACCAGCCGCAGGGGGCCGAGGCCACGCGGGGTGCGCCACTCCGCTGGACATCCCAAAGGGCCTCAAGAACGTGACGATATCGTCCCGCGACTGGCGACACCCAAAAAAGTAATGCACCCCATTTGGACGCCCGAAATGGGTACGGAAAAAATGGGTACAATGTCCTACAACACATGTTATCCCAAACCGACGGGCAGGCGGCTTTTTTGTCTTCAATGAACAACGCCTGCGGCGGCGCGAACAGCGAGTCCTGTTCAACATGAACAGAAACAACCGTCGGTCTTTGTACCCCTGCTTTCCGTACCCTTTTCGATCGTCCCGACCCCTGGGCCTGCGTCTCACCGCACTCCGCCGAACCCCCTGGGAGGACGAAGAAATGCCGCAACATGTACGAACAGCCGGCAACAGCCGACGGGGGCGAGGCCCTGCCTGGGTGTGCTCTGCACCCCGCGGGCCCGAAATGAGCAAGACAATCACGACAATGGCGCAGCTGGCAGAACTCAGGGGGGCGAGGTTTCGCCTGGGCCTGCATGCGCTAGCACCCCGCTGGAACCCGCGGGATCGCAGGTAATTGGCGATGACGGCACGCTTGGCAGCACCAAGCGAGCGAGGTAATGATCGGGTCTGTCCCCATTCCTCAATATCGTCATTCTCTCATCCTCTTATTCCCTCAATGATACTTCCACTCCCTGTCTATTAATTCACCCTCTTCGCCCTGGTTTTCCTGCTCCCCCCTCTCCTCACCCTCTTCTATTCCCTTACTCCCGTCCCGTTCCGTTCCTCTTCTTCTCTGGCTCCCTCTCTCGCCTTCTCCCTTTCCCCCCCCTCTGATATTCCCGGTCCATTCTTCATCCAGTCCCTCGTCACAATCCTGTTGCTCCCTTTTTGGCTCGTGCTCCTGAGTTCCCCCAGTGCCTCTGGAGGACTGTGGAGATTCCCTTGGAGGTCGCTGGAGGCCCAAGAGGGCCAAGTAAGATCAGCAACTGTGAAGCGATTCGACCCTCCTCGAACTCCTCCTCGAACTCCTCCTCGAACCCTCCTCGAACCCCTCCTCGAACCCTCCTCGAACTCCTCCTCCTCCACCTCCGCTCCGCCCTTTTCCCTGTAGGTAACTCCTCCCTGTCGTTCCACCAGACGTGTCGGTGAGGCGAGCCGGACGTTTCGCCTGAAATAACGCTCCTGAAGCTTGGCATGCGCGACAGTTCACTGATAGAGGGCGGCTCCCTCTCAGCACGCGGCTCTCGTTTTCACGCCGCTAACATTCGTCCCAACCTTTTGGAACTGTGTTAAGATAGGAAGGCGGGCCGCTTGCAACAAGTGGTTTCCGCCTACACCCCGCGAAATGCTTAAGAAATCATGGGTTAAGAAATTCATAGTCTCAGAACTTGAATAATAACCCAACATTCCAATTAAACTCTTAAGATTTACATTGAAACGTTAAGAATAATCGAGACTCTGGCCGAAAACTTAGGTTTTCTTCAGCATCGCCTAAGGTGTAAGTGTCGCGCACATTCGCCTTAACAGTTTGGAGCATGATCAAGGTTGGAAGGCGGGCCGTCTTCAAAATGTTGCTATCGCCCCAGCGACACGCAGCATCGTCTTAACAGTTTGCATCCGCTTCTAGGATGGAGGGCGTGCGGTTTTCAAAATGTAGCTCTTTCCTCAGCGCCGCCTACAATCGCTTGGAAGGTATGCAACAACTGCAAAGCTGGAGGGTGGTATCGTTTCAGACTGTGACTCTCGCCGAAACGCCGCACAAATGCTTCTTGGAAATTCGCAGCAAGTTCAAGGCTTGAGGCTGTGGGAGACCCAGAACTGGTGCTCTGGCATGGTGTAGGATTGTCAGGGCGCAACAGTCACGTTGATTCGCGGCGCTGAAATCCCATGAGCGGCGTTCTGGCGCGATTGAAGTAGTTATCATTGCATGGCGAAGCGATCGCGTTCATTCGTGGTATTGAAATCCCAAGAACTGTCTTCGGCACGATGATTGGTTTCCAGGCCGCTGGCCCGCAAAATCACCGATGCGTCTTGAGCTCACACTGATCCTCATCATCCTCTTCCTCGAGAAACTCCTCCCCGCGTGCTCCTGGAAGTCGGCGATGCCGAACTTCACGAGGATGTGCGGGTCGGTGGAGGGATTCCTCTGTTGTCGGGCGGGCGGCGTCGGGACGGCAAGGGGGGGGGAGAAGGAAGAGGTGGAGGGGGACGGGGAGGAGGAGGAGGAGGAGGAAGAGGAGGAGGAGGAGGAGGAGAAGGACGCGGCGGAGGAGGGGGAAGAGGGCGGGGAAGAGGAGGAGGGGGAGGAGGAGGAGGGGGAGGAGGAGGAGGAGGAGGAGGAAAAGGAGGAGGGAGATGAGGAGGAGAAGGCGGCCGGGCGCGGCGGCGCGACGCCAACTGGCGCGCAGGGGGGCCGGCGGCCCAGGCGGCGCTTCCTGGCGGGCTGGCGGGCCAGCCGCTGCGAAGCTGGAGGACCTCGCCTATGCCATTCTGTCCTTCGCCGCCCTAGATAGGGAGCCCACAAAGGACGTACGCGCCCAGCTATGTACATGAACACGGCCCCTCGATTCGCGAGACCGGCCGCGTTATACGAACATTTGCGCAATGCGTACTCTCGAAACCAGCGTGGATTCATGTACATGTACGTCCTTCTTTCGCTCCTGACTAGAGCCGGGCATGCGGGGCATAGGCTCCGGCCGGCGCACCCCTTCCTCCTCGGGGGAAGCTCGCCGCCGAGCAGTGGGCCGCACCTAGGGCGGCGGGTTTGCGCCAGCTCCCGATTACAGAGATCCGGCCGCGCGAAAGCCCCGCGCGAGCCGCCGCAAGAGGAAGGGGACAACGAGGAGGAGGAGGAGGACGAGGAGGAGGAGGAATGGTGGTGTTCACTGCATTAGGGAAACAAGTCCCGAGCAGAGCAACACGCACCACGACCACGACGACGCCGACGACAACGACGACGACGACGAAGACGAGGCGCGCAGACGATCCGCACCGAACCACGGATTCGGGAAAGGGCCCACCCTGCAGGTCCGGTTAAACAGCACATCGTTGAGCGGTGCTGCAGCCTCCCCTGAGCACAGGCCCCCCCAAGAGCATCAGCCAGACAAGTCGGGTTTGCACCCTCATGCCTTGCTGGACTCAGGGCGCGTTTCGGCACCCTCTCCCCCAACCTCGTCAGGGCCACCGACAAGGGAGAGGGCGGCGGTGGCCGACGCGTCCCTGAGCTAAGAAGCTCAAAGCGCCGCGGCTCAGAGAGCTGGGAAGAAAGACAGACAAGCGAACGGACGGGCAAACGGAAAGCCAGGGGGCGTGCAATGCCTGGCAATCCAAGTGGGTGGTCACTGCATGAGAGAACAAAATCCCGAGCAGAGCAACACGCACCACGACCACGACGACGCCGACAACAACGACGACCACGGAGACGAGGCGCGCAGAAGATCCGCACCGAAGCACGGATTCGGGAAAAGAGGAGGAGGAGGAGGAGGAGGAGGAGGCGTAAGGTGGGGCCGTCATCGCAACCGTATCGCCATCGTCGCCGTCGTCGTGGTCCTGCTCCTGCTCGTCCTGCTCCCCCTTGTTGTCCTCCCCATTCTCCCTGCCTCTGGGGACCACCACTCGGCGTCTGAAAGCAGGGCCCACGTCATCGAGACAGGAATATCTTGAGTTTCAGTGGGGGCGCGCATCAAGAAACCAATGTTTTTTTGCCAGGCCCCACCCCAGGTTTCTTCGCTCCGCGCGCTCCGCTGTGACGTCCAGCGACCCTGAAGACGCTGCTGCGCCCAAGATGCTCTGGACTCTCCCCGTGTGCACTTCGCGGCAAGGTTTTTTAGGGCCAAGTCTCTTGCGGATGGTTCCTCGCGGCCGCCTCCGCACCGTAAAGGGCTCGCCGCGCAACCCGTATGCTACGTCGTGAGGCGCCCAGGACGGAAGATGAAGAGGAGGAGCAGGAGGAGCAGGAGGATGACGAGTAGGAGGAGGAGGAGGAGGAGGAGGAGGGGAGAGGAGGGAGGAGAAGGAGAGGAAGGAGCAGGAGGAGGAGGAGCAGGAGTAGGAGGAGGAGGAGGAGGGAGAGGAGGAGGAAGGAGGAGGAGGAGGAGGAGGGGGAGGAGGAGGAGGAGGAGGAGGAGGAGGAGGGAGGAGGGGGAGGAGGAGGAGAGAGGAGGAGAATGAGGGAGGAGGAGGAGGAGGAGGGTGAGGAGGAGGAGGAGGAGGAGGAGGAGGGGGGAGGAGGATGAGGAGGAGGAGGGAGGAGGAGGAGGAGGAGGAGGAGGAGGAGGAGGAGGAGGAGGAGGAGGAGGAGGAGGAGGAGGAGGAGGAGGAGGGAGGAGGAGGAGGAGGAGGAGGAGGAGGGGGAGGAGGGGCTGTCTGGCATTGCCGCCAGGGGCGCCCAGGACGGCCCTGGAGGCCCCCCCGACGGCCCGACACGGGCCCGCAGGAGGGGCGCTCCACCCCCACGACGCCCGCGCCAGCTCCCCCCCCTCAAGCCCGGTGGGAGAACGGCAGAGCGACGCCACCGGGAGGACGAGGAGGACCACGAAGAGGAGGACGAGGAGGCGCACGAGGAGGAGGAGGCGGGGGGGGAGATGGAGGAGGAGATGGGGGAGGTGGGGGGGGGCTGAATGCACCTGGCTACCACAAGCGCCACGAGAGCGACGAAAAGGAGCGGGTCTTGCTTACACGAGAAGACGCAACAGCCTTACGAGGTGGCCCACGCGGGCCGCCAGCGCGGCACAATGCAAAGGAAGCGAGCGCGCTTCCGCGCGACCTCTCGCGGGCAGCTTACGAGCAAATGCCCGTGCAGACTCGACCTCCTTTCTGCAGAAACACCCAGAATCGAATCGATAAGTCGAATCAGCGATCGAAACCACTCGGACAGGCGAACATCGGGAGCCAAAAGTCGGGAGAAGTCGAATCGGCGGAAATCGGCAGGAGCAGTAATGCCTCATTGAGAACGCGGAATCCAAATCGAAATCCATAACCGAATCGAATCACAGTCGGAATGGAATCGGAATCGAAACGAGTCCTGTTCTGCCTCCGTCACGACGAGGCCGTGGGGGTCCTCCTGGTGATGTGGCCACCCCTGCCCGCTCAAGGCGTTCCCCAATCCCCAACCCCAGGGGAAGCGTCCTGGACCCCCTCTCTTGATGTGGCCCCCTGGGTTGGGAGGCAAGTCCAGGGTTGTGTTGCTCCTATCGTACTTATGGACCACATCCCAGAACAAATTTCGAGCACCCAGAAACAATGTCGAAACAATGTCGGGCGAGTGCCTCCCAGGGCCCGACACGTGACAACCTCAGAGTTTCGGTACCTTTTGGGGCGCTCGAAATTCTTTCTGACGATCAGGGCTAAAGTAGGTTGGGACATCGTAACTCCAGGGAGGACTCCGTACGAACGAGGTAGGTCAGCCAACTGAGCGCCGAGCACAGAGCAGGTCTTGCGCGAGATGGCACGGCGACCTCGCTACGCGGGCCGCCAGCGCGGCACGCTGCATTGGAGACGAGGGCGCTGACGCGCGAACTCACGCGGGCGACTTACGCGCCGATGTCGGCGCAAACTGCTCGCTCGGATGAAGAAATCACTGAACCGGATAAGGCCGGATTAAGCCTGGGGCCACGCCTGATTAGGCCTGAGTGGACGTCATTGAGCTGGACTCTGCGGGATTCAGCCAGATTCCCGCCACGGATACACCAGCAGCGATGCTGAGCTGAACCGCCCAGGAGTGAATTTCTAATCCCCATATGCACCTTTGGGAAGCGGCACCTTTGCCGCATGGCAAGCGCAGGCTGTCGCGAGGCGCGCCCAATGGGCACCTGGGAGGGAAGGGCGTACCTGCTCGTGGGGAAAGCCAAGAAGGTACCGATGCCGCCACTCCACGCACCTCTTCCAGGAGGGGTCTGTGTCCCCGACCAATTTCCCGAGAAGAATCCGGCCGCGGTGACGAGGGCTCACCAGGACGAGCAGCCGCACCCTCCTCCTTCCTCCCTCCTCCTTCCTCCCTCCTCCCTCCTGCCTCCTCCCTGCTTCTGCCTCCCTCCTCCTCGTCCTCCTCCTCCTCGTCCTCCTCCTCCTCGTCCTCGTCCTCCTCCTCCTCGTCCTTCTCCTCCTCCTCCTCCTCCTCCTCCTCCTCCTCCTCCTCCTCCTCCTCCTCCTCCTCCTCTCCTCCTCCTCCTCCTCCTCCCCCTCCCCCTCCCCTCCTCCTCCTCCTCCTCCTCCTCCTCCTCCTCCTCCTCCTCCTCCTCCTCCTCCTCCTCCTCCGCCTCCTCCTCCTCCTCCCCCTCCCCCTCGGAACTCGTGCGCTGGTCTGGCGTGATCGGTGGCGCCGCTGCAAACCGTGCTGCTCCATGCCGGCCTGCGCAGGACAGGCCGGCCGGCGGCAACGAGAGCGCCTCTCTGGCGCGTGCGGCGGGAAGCACGGGCCTGCCACTTCCAGCCGTCATCTGCGGCTGCTGCACCTCCTCCTGCTCTTCCTTCCCCGAGGGGGGGATGATGAAGACGACGACGACGACGACGACGACGACGACGACGACGAGGACTCGACCAGATTCGAACGGGCAAGGGCCAACTGGCTGTTGGATGTCCTATCGCCACTCTCTTTCCCGAGTGGTTTCAGATGAATGGGAAGCGTCCAACAGCAAGCGATGCAACGAGATAGTAGGCCCTACTCTGCGAAGGCTGCGACGAGAATGGGAAAACTATCTTAAGGAAGACAATCGTTCTCATCCTCTCCCTCCTTTGCCTTGCTCCAACTTCGGCAGCGGCTGGGGTCCACTCGTCGGAAATCCCGTTGAGGATGCCGCCCAGCCGCATCGCGTGCCCCTTGGCCTTAAGGATGTCGTGGCAGCCCTCGCACGGGGATGAGAGATAGAAAAACCAACAACTACAGAATCGTGTTCGCCATTTCGTTGCGCAATCTTTGTGTGTTGCAATCTGTCGTTGGCAGTCGCTCCATGTGGTGCAAGCCATGTGGTGGAGCATGTGGGGTGCAGTCCGTGCGTGGTGCTGAGACGGCCAGGTGCAATCTGCGTGGTGCGACCGTGTGGGGCAAGCAAAAGCAATGCGTTGAACGCTGCGGCACCCCTCTGTGTTACTGCGCTCTGCTGCGTGCAGTGTATGGGCTTCGGACTCTATACATATCCACTGCTCCCGGCCAGGCCAATCCTGGGCCCAAGAGCTGTGTATACGCCCTCCTGGCTTGGCCAGGGAGGCATATACACCGCTCCTGGGCCCAGGATGGGCCTGGCCAGGAGCAGTGGATATGCATAGATCTCGTCGCCCTAAGTGTATGGGCTTCGGACTCTGTCTCGCGAAATCGACGCGTGAACTTCCGCATGCGCCAACCGGCGTAGGCGGCGGCCACGGGCGGGCACAGCCCAGACCCTCGCAGAAGCCGGCCCACGCGCGAGGCGCACACGGGCGGGCTCCGGGCGGAAGCGTCGAGAACCAACGGGTTGCCAATGGGACGGGGGGCCGTCGTTCGACCGCAACAAGGTCTAGGCCTGGCCTCACCTGGCTCAGTAATGGTAGGGCGACGAGATCTATGCATATCCACAGCTCCTGGCCAGGCCCATCCTGGGCCCAGGAGCGGTGTATATGCCTCCCTGGCCAAGCCAGGAGGGCGTATACACAGCTCTTGGGCCCAGGATGGGCCTGGCCAGGAGCAGTGGATATGTATAGATCTCGTCGCCCTATAATGGGTTGCAAGTGGTTTCGGGGGGATAGCGATCCAGGCTAAGTGGGCTCCGCCGCCCGAGCGGAATGCTCAAATCCTGCCAGGGCACTCGAGACATGTGTGAGCAGCTTATAAGCCAGGTTCGGCCAGGTATAACCCTCTTGGCGTCCACTGATGACCCTCCTATCCTTTTAACACCCCCCGCGCCAATCCCATTGGCCAACGCACGAAGCGCCTCCCGCCATTAGCCTCCCACGAGGCGGGCACGGGCGGACAGCAGGCGAACACCCAGAAACCCACCCAACCACTGACAACCGAAGCAAAAACCCCAACAGAGCAAACACTGTGTGGTGAATCTCGCCAACCGTTTGGCCGTAGGCGGCTTAGCCGATCAGACCAACCCTTCAGGGCGTGAGTCGTTTCACGGGTTTCCTCGTCCAACCTCCCTCCTCCCCTTCGGGGATGGGTGTACCCTTCCCCCTGCACCCCCCTTCGGGTTGGATCTGGAATGAAAAGCGTGGGTCCAGAGGGTGTAAGCCGAGACCTCGCTTAGGATGACGTCGTAGACGTAACGCAGTATCCCATAGCTTATCCCTTCTTGATGGGCAGGGCGAAAAGTAGGAGATAAGGCGCGAGATATGATGGTGGGCCATGGGTGGATGTGGTTTTATCCAACACTCAGTTCCAACAGTGCCTCGCAGGAGCGAGGCAATCAAATGGGGCAGCGCTACATGCGCCAAAAATAGCGCCGGACGTAGGCAAGACGCTCGCCATGCTCACCCTTGTCCCCTTCAAAGTCAGGCGGGGAGGAGCCGAGCGTCGGTCCACGTCAAAACTAAATAACACAGCATAAGAATGATCAATGCAATAAGTAGGAGGCTGTCCATTTTCATGGTAAGACACGGGCAACGCGGGGTGTCAAGGTCGGTCATGGGCAACCGCGCGACCGACCGCAATGACTCCAGATAATATGGTTAACCAAACAGTCAGGCATATAAGCGAGCGGGGAAGCAAAAGGATACCAATCCAAGCTGTCAGGCATCAAAGCTTGCAGTGGAGTAAACAGGAAGACAGCCCATGCCCAAACTAATGCTGCCACTGTGCTCGTGTCCGACCAGACGTGGACTATAGCTTAGCCTCACGTGTACAGTATCCGCCCTATGGGGGGCAAGGCTATGTCAATAATGTGTTGTTGCCTCTGTGTTGTGGTTTCCTCTTTAATTCATACTCGGACGACTGTATACCTTCCATCACTTGTAGTAGTAGCGCACGATAAGTACAGCCTGTGAAATGGCCGTCGGCTGTCATATCACGTGTGTCACACCACTGTGCGCTATGAACGATTCCTGTCCATCATTTGCCGGATCAAGCTGATATGTCCTAACCGGGTGTATTCTGTCGGCTTCTTCACGTCCTTACTCGATAGGGACTTGAAGGCCGACTCAGCATCTATGGCGAGCGTAACTTGCTTGGGCCACCGAAATGTAACGTAGTATTGAGCCTTGGCGGCAGTGGTCCAGCCTTGAGCACGCGCAGCGTCAAAACGGCAGGGTAGCAATCTTCCAGGTTATGGGCTGCTGCTACGGTTTCAGCCAGATTGCTGGAACGTGCCTGCCAACGGTGCGACTTGCAATGCGCGTCGACTTGGTGCACTGCCACCTTGCTGTCAGGCGCGTGTCCGCGCGGGAAGAGGTTGGCTCCTCGGCTGCCACGCCCCTTAACTTTGCCATCGGCCTCGCCGTTGAGGCGGCGAGAACCGGAGTCGCTGCGTGGGTCCGCATGTCCTCTCAGGGTCCTAAATTGATATAGTAACCTGCCGAGTTTGCGCGTCGCGGCATGCAGTCTGCGAACTTGCTGGTCGGCAGGTTCTTCGCCGCGTCGTAGACCACGTAGACAATGAAGCGCGCGCTCGCGTGATCAACGCATGTGCTAAAGCGCCGCTTAGGCTGATGAACATTTCAGATACTGTTTCCTTTGCCTGCTTTCGGTTTCAGAGCCAGTGCTTTCCCGGCGCGGCGCGGGGTGAAATTGTTCCATGCGCGCATCCTGACCAACAAAAAACGCGACAATCCTCTGTCGAGGTGCAGCGCGCGGCGCAGTCCGTGTAGCTGTTTTCTGTTGAGTTTGCATACGCCGAACGCGCTATCTACACGCGGGACGTGCTCGTCAATCGCGCCCTCGAGTCCTGCCATATTAAACGTCATCAACTTGCACGGCTGTTCGGAGTTCTGGCCCGTCTCAAATTCTTCATAATATGGTGGAAATATGCGCCCAAAGCATATCGCGATGGTTCTGAGTTTAACTGGGAATGCCCTGGGGCACCCGTGGAGCCCGCGCCCAGCTTCAAGCGCTGCGAGTTGCGCCTCGATTCGTCATGACACGCGAAGCCTGGCAACGCGCGCAGCGCCGATGCTAAACCAAGTGGGAGAGCGAAGCGCACCATGCGTCGCTCGTGCCCCCCATTGGTCTCAACCAATTGTTCCAGAAAGCATTGTAGATGTCCATGGAAGCGGTGATCCATGACTTCTCGCGCGCCAAGGCGCTTGCGCGCTCTCTGACTTGCTCGGCGAGCGGTGCCTGAGAAGGTTTCTACATCGAAGGCATCGACGCCCATGGGGCCGCGAAGAACCAAACGAAATCTGTCTTTACGAACTTCCGCTCGTGCACGCAAATAGAATCCGCAATAGTAGTGGCATTGTTGATACCTTGCATTTCAAAGCGGCTACCGCCGCGCCGGAGTTTAAGTTCTCTGTGTTAACCTGTGGGCATCCAGGAAACATTCGCCTGCGTTTCGGCCTCCGCGAGGTGCGCAGTGGTTATCTGGCCGTTGTGGAGTGGGTTGCGTTGCTGCTCCGACAGAACAACGTCGGCCATGTCCGTAGTACAGCAAAACTTCACATGCTGACCATGTTCGTCCGAATCCAGGTCGCATGTTTCGCCATGCTCGGCGATGCAAGGTGCCGGGCACTTCTCGTCGGCATCAGCGTGGTAGCCGCAGCCAAATTGATGCGAGTGTCACTTGCTCTTCGCTGGCCACAGTCGCGAGCGCGTGGTTTTCCCTAATCGTGCCTGTGGGCATCGAGTATCAGGATTATACTTCTCCAATAATCCCTACTCTGCTCGGAGTCCAAATGTGCAGCGTTTCCGTGATGAGAGCTTCTACGTCCATCTCCGACTCCTCACAAATGGTCGGAAGCCTAACATCTAGTGCGGCTGGAGCTAAAGGTTACTCTTCTTCTCGAGCGTTGCCGCCCGATTCTGGCGCGCCCGCCAATTCGTCAAACATCGACAGTCGTCGAAGCCTTCTAAGAGGCCTCGAGGATTAGAGGCGCTGGATGATGCGTTCGTGCGTGGACCAAATAATGTCGTGAATGTTGAGCGCTGTGCCCTCGGATTCGCGATGGTGGAGTCCTGGTGTGGCGTCGTTGCCGCAATGTGCCGGGGCGCATCTGCGGGCGTTCCTTGTCAGGCGCACTGCCGCTACGCTTGCTCTCTGGAAGTAGTTTCGCATGGGAAACTGCAAGGCTAAGTGTGCCTCTGGCGAGTCTACTCGCCGCGGTCATCCTCAAGTCTACCTGCTTGATCGGCAAAGAGGCCGGATGCCATGGCATGCCCCCCCGCGGGTAGGCTCGCGACGCGACGAAGGCCAGCGCTGCGCGCACAGCCCTTGCATCGGAGCCGATCTCGCGGACCATGGGTACTCCCAAGCACAGCGCGCGACGCAGGTCGGGAGACTGTGCGAGGAATTTGCGACCGCCAACCCGAACTGCAACATGGCCTCGGCCAAGGCAGATACGCGCAGTGGGGCATGGTCCGTTCCATCCACCCCGGTCGTCCTTTGCGGTGGTCGGGCGGCGGTGGTCCACGAGGTCACCGGGCTAATAGCTATGGCGCCCCGCGCATCCCGTTGGCGTTTTGGCGCGCGGGGGTCGGTTAACTTTAGTAGCTGCCGTGGCATGAAATAGCCTCGACACTTTGCCGCAATGCCGGCCTTCTTGTGGTAGACGTAGACACGCTAGTGGGGTGTTATGGGGTTTGAGTTCTTCTCCCATTGCGCGTGAGGTGCGCTGGAAGATGCCCTTGCGCGCCTCGGTGCCGGCGGCGTGCAGGCCTCGGGCGCGGGCGCGAACCCCCCGCGCCTTTGGCTTCTAAGATAGCCTTGGCGGTATCGTTGTTTAAGGCGCCCTCTCCATCGCAGCGCATCGCAGTTGCTGGGCCGCATTGCATCCAGCATTGGTGAACGCGTCCAACGCAGCGTGCGTCGCCTTGTCGGCTACCGGTCGACCAGCAGCTCGACGCGCACATCGGTCCACGGAATGAAACGACGTATTATTTAACAACATCGGATCACATCCAACTTCCTCAGTGATTCTGCATGGGAGGCTGACTGCGCATCCTGGTGCCCCCTGGCCCTTCTCTCATGGCATGGGCCAATTGCTCCTCTTATCTTGTTCAGCCGTGAAACATCAAGCCCTACTCGCGGTGAGATGCCGCGCGCACTTGGTTCGGAGGCGCGGTGTCGCAGCGGTGGGAGTTAGCGGATCCCCGTCGCCGCGGAAGCTGCGCGAGCTTCGGATGATTATCTGGAATTCAAACACAATCTGTTCAGGTAATCTGGCACGTGGCCGCGCTTCGGCCGGCGGCGGAGGAGGGGGCGGCGCCGCGCCGCCCCCCCTGCGCCCGCGGAGTCCAGCGACGCGCGGTGGGTCAGGAGCGCTGCAAGCGGCAAGGCCGCCAGCGCCGCCGCCGCCAGTGCTGCGCGCGCCTCGTGTCATATCGTAGCTGATGGTGCGCGCGGTCGGGTCTCCAGGCTTCCTGCGCGTAAGTGGATGCGCGCGAGCCCGCGCATGGCTCGGCGGCCTCTGTCGTGCCGGTGGCAGTGCTGTAGGCGCCGGTGCTGCGTCGAACAGTTCGTCCACTGGTGCTTGTGCCGCGACTGGCGCAGTGGCCGCTGGCGATGGCGAATCTACATTTGACTGGCGTTAGCAAGTGGCCCGCGCGTGCTTGCCATGCTACTCTTTGCAGCTTGGACATGCCCAGTGGGGTTCTGTGTCAAACCGCCGCCGCTGTCGTGAATGCGCCGTTGTGTCGCGGTGATTTCACGCGCGCGTTGTCGGCGCTGGCGCGACATACCTGTCCGCCTGACATTGGTCGGCGGATTGGCGCATTGGCCTACCGAGGTACAGCGGGGTCGTCGAGATCGTAGCCATCACTGTTTATCACGAAGGCGCATGTCTGTTTTCGATCGGTGATGGGCTTCTACCCTGTGCAAAAAGGTCACATGCAATCTTGGCCGCGTCGACGATGGGCGATTGCATCTTCGGTGTGTATCGGGCCGGCTGTGCAAATTCTCCGCGACATATTTGGGCATGTTCGCGATGGAAAGAGCATTGTTTGTTTTCGACGGATTTAGAAACTGCTGTGGTTGGCAACCATTTCGGTGGGTGTCCTGATGCGCGCGCCACGGGAGTCTCGTAGGCCTGTCGAGCATTGGCTAATGATCTGTAGGCCAGTCGGTCATGGGGCAATCTCATCCACCCGCGCGACAAGCGGTTGCCCCCTAAGGAATTGGCGTTGCAAAACGTCCTGTGCGACGGCAACCTTACCGCAGAAGGTAATGTGGGGAAGGTCCTCCCTCTGGTGCTTATACCAAGTGTCATGTGTTACTTGTGCACTGAAACAAATTAAAGGGAAACCAATGGTTCCCCAGCTGGGTTGCAGCATCACCCTTGTAACAAAACAGGTGTGCAGATAGTGTTCCACAGCTTGTTGTGCTCGTGGATGTCCTAGGTCAGCGTTGGCGAGTTTGTCGAAGCCACCACCAGAGGTCAACTTCCTCTGGGTAGTGTTAGAAGAGATCGTCACCGTCTTCTAATGCAAGTAATCCAGTTAGATCGTCGAAATATAGTGTGGCACATCCTAGTCCTCTGAGGTCATCACCACAGTCGTTGTTGCCGTCTTGAATGACAGCCTCCTTGTCAGCGTGTTGGTTTTCCTTATGCCTTTAAACAGGCATGGGTTGGTAATGCTGTTTGTGTGTGGCGTGTCAGCCCTGAATGCAGGGTGTCGTTGGATTGTTGGGAGGCCCCCGTCAAACCCAATCGGGCGGGGAGGATCTTGTTCATATCTGGTAGACGTAACTCGCTGCTTTGGGTTTGTCGGTTGCCCGTGGCCGAGCATGGTTTGGGCCGCGGGTCTACGTCGTCCCAAATTGGTCCGCCGATGTTCGGTTATACAGAATGCTTCACAATCATGTCCGTGCGGGCGAACACGCGTACATATACATGTATAGTTCATTTTCTGGTGGACGTGTTTTTGCAGATGGTCCAGCAATTGCGCGACCAAGAATGCCGTGGGTTTGTTACGCCACTCGGCATGCTGTTGGTCTTGTCCGTACCACCCCACATGATGTTCCTTGGCGGATGTACGCGTGCATTTCCATAGATCGATCGGGCTATTAGGGCACGACATACATACCTGCATGTGTGAAACACTTGGCGTCTTATCTGCGCGACCGTACTTAATACGGACCTGGCAGAGGGGCATCCGGACACTTTTGAGATCAAGGTTCTCGTATAGGTCCTACGTTACAGAAAAATCGGGTGATCCGCCTGCATCCTGAGGACATACGTTTCTGTTAAGAAGTTCCATGTTCTCTCTTATGGTGGCCGAAGTAGCAGTCGTACCTGCCACTCAGCGGGTGTGGCCACCCAGCGCAACGCGTAATTTCCTGCGCGCCTCACTATTTGGCCCCCACGAATGTCATTACTTCATCATGGGTACCACGGTCACACATATAGCCTCGGCGGCGTAGCTGGCGGTAGGCATTCGAATTTCCTCACTAACAAGCGCCTTGGGATGAACGGGCTCATATCATGCTTCCGAGCATGTGGCCATGCGTTCGTGTGCTGTGTATCACGTGTGCGCGAAGTTGGCCTCCTCGGGCAGCAAAGAGGCTTGGCCAAAGAGCTCGCCTGCCCCCGTCGAAGGAGAATGTCGGTGTGGGGCGGGACGCTCGGAGGGTAACTGCTCGAGGCCGTCAGCCATGTTTCGTGGTTCGCGTCGCCCTGCGGCAGCCCATCCTCTCGGAGTCGAACGGTGTCCCGCTCCTCCTTGGGGGTGTCCGCCCTGGACATGTCGGGGCTGCCTATGCGCCAAGTCCCGCGCCTCTTCGAGATGAGGATGGGAGCCGTGCGTCAGCGCGCCTGGCTCTCATTTCTCCGTCGGTTCTTTCGCCTCGTGGTGGATGCTTGCCAGCAGCATGCGCGTCACCTCACGGCGATCAACGGAGCGGGCCGATCGATACCAACGGTCAAGCGTAATGGTGACCGTCATGGTCACGGCATGGTCGACCGACCCATCGCTGAAGCGACCCAAAATTTCGCGGTTTTACTCGCCGGTGGCCTGGCTTCCCTGGGCTGCCTGCCCGCGGTCAGCTTCCGTCTCGATCCCATGCTGGGCAATACTCCCAACGCTGACGTAGGTGGCGGCTTCCGTCGCTTCCTCATTGTCAGGACTGGAAGTGGCCTCCCCGTAGTATGAGCAGGGGATGAACAGATGGCCCGATAACGTTTTCTCTAGTGCGAGCACCTGTGCGCCTTTCCCCAACTTCACCTCGTAAATGTGGATACCAGGGAATCTGATACGCTCCAGGCCTTCCTCGAATATCAAAATCAGGATGCGTTCTGACCAGAATCTCGATGCGAAACCACCCGTGGCGACGAGGGCGTCCCAGGAAGCCCCCCAAAAAGAGAAAACGAGGGAACGGTAGCGGTATTGGTACCCTTTCCTCCTCATCCTCCTCCTCCTCGTCCTCCTCCTCCTCCTCCTCCTGCCCCGTCAAACGCGTTCCTCTTACAGGAGGGCCCTGTTGCTTGTGCGCACACGGCGGTCTGAAGAAGCAGGTCAGACCACGAGCCAGGAGAGCGCTGAACACTGCCTCGGCTCCCGCCCGCCCCTGGAAGGGGAGGGAAGAGGGAAACCCAATCGATCATCGAAGCCAGAAGGTGCCCGAAGCAGATTGGGATCTGGGGATCCCCGAAATGCCTACTCGCAACGACCGACGCGAAAATTCCTCCACCTCCTCCCCCCCCGAGGCGGTCTGGGCGGCCTGGCCGCCCTCCGGCGTCTGGATCTCGTGAGCGTAGTTGGGGGACACGGTGAGCACCTGGGGAGGGTAAGACAAGACAAGACTCCCCTGGCTCCTTTTTTTTCTTGCGCAGGCTGCCGAGCGCACGCGCTCGTAGCGTCAGGCGCGCGTCGGCGGGCCGATGCGCAACGCTCGCACTGCTGGAGCTCCAGCAACGGCAAGCGCACAGTGCTGCAGGAGAGCGAGCGGACACGAGAAACCTCCTCCACCATCACCTTCTCCACTGGTGGCCACCATCACCTCCTCCAGTGGCAGGACGGGAGCGAAAAGGTCAGACTGAGTGCGTCGCTAACAGGCAACTCCCCTGGCTCCTCCTCCTCCTTCCCCCCTCGGGAGCGGCCAAGAAGGGGTGTCCAAGAGGGGGGGGTGCAAATCATGGCCGGCGGCATGTGCGCGGCCCAGCGGGGGGGCCGGGGACGAATTGAAATAAGAAGAGGCGCCGTGAAATCTGGGGAGATATCATGGCCCCCGCCATGATATCCACCCCCCCTAGCCATCACCCCCCTCTTTGCCGCCCCCGCCTCCAAGCCGGTGGGAAGAGGTAGGCCGCACGCATGCAGCAGGAAGCGGGCCAGACCATAGCCTGGGTGCAGACCCGCCCTGGGAACACCATGGCACGGCAGAAGCACGCCGGTGCTCGAGGTCCGAAAGCACTCGCTTGCAACAGCCGGCGCGCACTCTCCACGCCCCGGGGCTCGGAATGGGGGAGGGGATCCGAGGGAGGAGGAGGAGGAGGAGGGGTGCGGAGGGAGGAGGAGGAGGAGGAGGAGGAGGAGGAGGAGGAGGAGGAGGAGGAGGAGGAGGAGGAGGAGGAGGGGTGGATTGCGCCGGGCTGGGCGCTGCCCGAAGCGGGCCCCGGGCATCCCCCCGGGAGAGGGCTGGCAGCCCGGCGCTCTGCTCCTGCCACCGCGGGAGAGGGGGCGGCTCGAGGGAGGGGATCCGCGAGAGGGCGGATGGAGGGAGAGGAAGAGGGCGGAGCTTCCCGCGCCTTCGGGGCTCCCGGGGGCGGGGAAGTGAGGGGACGAGGCGGAGAGGGACCAAGGGAGGGGATCATCGCACGCTGGGCCTCTGGGCGGCTCCCGGGACTCCCTCTTGCTCTCTGATCGGAAGTGGAGGGCCCAATGGCCCTACACCGTCACTTGGCGCGTGGACGAGGTGGGGCTCCGCGTTGCGGATTCTCGGGGAACTCGCACTTCTGAAGAACGATTCACTTGACATGTTTGGAATTGTAATTCAAAGCGTGTCATTTGAAGGCATGGCAATTCCAACATTTACAATGGGAATTGAAGCACGTGTGGTGTTTGTCCCCGTCGAGTTTTCCAATTGAAATGCCCGTCCCCCCCCGAATGGCTGGTACTCTGTTTTTGCCAGTGGAAATAATGCGCCTCAAATGCGCGGGTGCCCCCCAGGCTACAGCAACCACGGCTCCCGCCTGAGACTTCCTCGTGTATCCTAGAATCGGGCTCTCGCTCGAGACCCCCCGCAGATTACTCAAGAATGGCGCCCTCGCCTGCCTATTCTTGGAAATAACTGACTCAAGGCTCGCGCCGTCGTCACTCTGGATTCGCTCTCACCCAAGGAGCTTTCACACTTTGCTCAGGAATGGCCCGCTCGTCAGATATTTCACTACAAACAAACTAACAGAATAATTGCAATTTACGGTATCGCCCGCCCGACCCGACCGACTGCATCGAGGAGTCTCACACTGTCCAGGCGAGGCCCGGGGGGGCGCCCGATCGGCGAGCTTGATGCCCGCCGCGAGCAGGTTGATGCAGTCGTCGCCCATGTTCAGGTCCTCGCCCTGCCGCGGAGGAGCGAACCGCCGCAGAAAGTGGAGCGAAGCAGGGCCCAGACCTCTCAACTACAGTTTTGATTGAGCAGAATTTCTCAGGCGAAGCTCGAACGAGGACAGAACTCGAGTGCGACTGGAGGAACCGAGAATCTCTGAGATCCGGCGGCTCTGCAGGATGTCTCGGGCGCCGCGGCCTTCTCAGAGCGCTCCCGCACTCTCCGAGAGCGTTCCAGACTGCTCTGGAACGGATGTATCCTCTTCCTAGCCCCGTCCGCGTTTCACCACTTATCGGAACGACGAATGACACAAACATGAAAAATCGGAGATCCGCGCGAATTTCTCGGATCGGCGCTGGACCTCCCTCCCTGGGGCGCGGAGCGCGCCAGGGGCGGCGCCGGAGGCGCCGCCGGGGGGGTCCAGCGCCGATGCGAGAAATCCGCGCGGACGTCTGAGATTTTATGTCTGTGTCATTCTTCGTTCCCTTCACGTACTGCAAAGACCGGCACCGCGCCGTGGGCTCACAGGTGTTCGCCGAGCGCGTTCCAGTTACTCGCAGAGTGCCCACTCGCAAAAGTCCGAAAAGCACATGTCTGCTTCGATGTGATGTGTCGTCGATCTCCCGCGGGGGATCCAGGCCATTTGCGAGTACACCCTAGGCGATGCTTAAGAAAACCTAATTTTTCGGCCAGAGTCTCGATTATTCTTAACGTTTCGACATAGATCCTAAGATTTGAATAGACATTCTGGGTTTTTATTCCAATTCTGAGACTATGAATTTCTTAACCCATGATTTCTTAAGCATTTCGCAGGGTGTAGTTCCTTTGCGAGTGGTGGAACGCGCTCGTCGAGGTATGGCCACTCTTCTTCGGGGGGGGGAAGGGCACACAGCCCCCCAGCTGCCGGACCTCCTGAGGAGGGGCTGTCGCGGGACTCCCACGCGGGGGTCGCCGCGCGGCGCTTCCCGAAGGCATCGGCCACAAAGGCACGAAGCCACTGGGGCCCGGGGGACCTCGACTATAGAGTTAGGTCGGGCATGTCCTCCTACAGGCGGATTTCGGACGAAGGATGAAAAATAATGGAATCATGGTCCAACAATGATGAAAAACAAGTAGAGCATCGCCCCCAGACAAAGTGTGGGCTATTCCGGAAAATCGTCTCCAAAAAGAAAATCGTCCCCATAATATTCTTCCGGTCAAAGGGACATGCCTGACTTAAGACTAGAGCCAAGATGACCTCCGAGACCGCCAAAGGGCCTGAAGAGGCCCCAGAGGCGCCCCAAAGGCTGGCGAGCGCCAAGGAGGCGCACCAGATGCCCCGGAAGGGCCCCGGAAGCTCCATTGCCCACCACCAGAGCACGGCGGAGGGATGAGCCCAACTCCACCACTTGATACTGCTTCGAGTACACTTGCCCGGGGATCGGTGCCCCTCCCGGGTTCCTCCCGCGCTCTTCCTGTGAACCTCGCGAGCACGCGGACTCGCTTCTGGTGCACCTCGCGCCGCCCTCGTTTGAGCAAGGACCGACCGTCCCGGCATTCCTATAGTCCTACGACGAAATGTTCTTAGAACCTCAAAGTGTTCTAAGAACAAAAACAATGTTCTTAGAACGTAGGCCCGATGTGTCAAACAAAACAATATCAACCAGAAATGTTCTAAGAATATTTCGTGGAAACCACACAGAGGTTCTTAGAGCATTGTTTGGTAGGGCTGTCGGCGAGCCAGGACGCTTCGCCACTGCTTGACTCGTTCTGTAGCCAAGAAGCTCCACTCAACCTTGCTGGGCTGCTCCTGGCGCACACCGCCGGCACAGTCGGGAGAAAACCAACTCGCCAATTCTGTGCGCGTCGGCAGCCAGGGCGAGCGCCCGTCGGGCGAGCTCGCCTGGGCGGGGAATCGCTGGACCAGCATCCCCGTCCCGCCTGCTCAGCCTCGTCCTTCTTTCCGTCCTCCTCCTGCTCCTCTTCCTACTCCTCCTCCTCCTCCCCCTCCTCGCCCTCCCCGTTGTTGGTTGTTGTTCTCGTTGCCTTATGGTTCGACCGACGAATTCAGCGAATGGCCCATTTCTGTTGATAGCGACCCTCGGGGGCATTCGTAGTTTCAACCTCCAAGTATCGTTGTTATCCTCCGCCTCCCCCCTGGCCCCTGATTATTCCCTTTTGCTTCCCAGGAATATCCAGATGCCTGCAGGGCCACCCACAAGCCCAAACAACATCAACGTCACCCTAGCTGATCGATCCTTCTCCCTGTTTTGCTGTACCTCCTTCTCCTCCTCCTCGGATGGTGCCAAACGGATGCGGTCGACGTCCCTGCAGCACGATCGAAAATGCCGGTCGTGTGCTAGCTTCCAGGGAGCGGAGCACCCGCAACGGTAAGCCCAAGCAGAAACGGGGGCGCTCCGCTCAACCGCGCTGAGGGCGAAGCACGGCGGTTTCGGCAGAGACCGAACTGCCCCCAAACACCCCGTCCGTGTCCACGAGCGCAACGATGATTGGATCCTTGTTCGGGGGGACCTTCCTTGGACCACTCGCTCCACTCATGCGGCGTTGCTACGTCGAACGACCTTCGCCTTGAGTCAAGCAGGAATCGAACTTGAGCTGAGCTGGAGCGGGACTGGAGCTGACAGAAATCCGAACAAATTCGTCAAGCGGGCCCCAGACTCGAACTAGAGCCTAACAAATCCGTTACAGTCAACCCGTATTGTAAGGAAGCGCGAAAAGGATGCAAGGGCCTTGGACGCCCATTTCGACACTGCTCGAGTGGAGCGCGGCCACCGGAAGTGGCCAAGGATGGACCGAGGAAGCAAGGATGCAAGGGTACCCTTGGGAAGGATGCCCATCCTGATTCATGCGGGTTGACTGTAGATGGAGTCCAGGAGCGGCCCCAAAACAGACGTCGGACGATGACGAGGCGCGGCGCGCGGGAAAGGCACGCGACCCCCACGGCGCCCGAGACCAGCTCCAGGCCGGGCATGTCCTCCTACAGGCGAATCTTGGACGAAACCCGAAAACATACCCCAGACGTTGTCAACAGAAAGTCAAGATACACCCTGCGAAATGCTTAAGAAATAATGGGTTCAGAAATTCATAGCCTCAGAAATTGACTAAAAACCCAGAATGTCTATTCAAATCTTAGGATTCACATTGAAACATTAAGAATAATCGAGACTCTGGCCGAAAACTTGGGTTTTCTTAAGCATCGTGTAGAGAGTATAGCAGAAACATCGTCCCCAGAACCTGTGTTTACGACTTTTGCCTATTCCCCCTGCAGAGGGACACGCCCGCCTCGGGACCAGCTGGACCGCCCTGCCCGCGCGCCGCCGCCCCGCCGCGCGGCCAACACGGGCCCCCCCCCGCCCTGCGCCGCCCCCCCCCCCCCCCCCGGGGGGAGCGGGGGCACGCTCGCGGGAGGGGGGGACCCCAAGATGAGGCGGGGCGCTGCAGTCGGCCCGGGATCATTCAGCAGGGGCCCGGCCACAAGAAGCCTTCCACAAATACAGTCGGGCTTGACTGGAGAGGACACGCGAGAGGACGCAAGACCCTTTCGAGGGCCACATCGTCGCAGGAATATGCGACGCATGGGTCGCGAGACACAGGACACAAGGGTACCCTTGATCTGGCAGGGTCGACCTACTTATCCGGGGCGCCTGTAACCCAACCCTGAGACCCAAGGAAGTCCATCGATGTTCGGTACAGGAGCGCCACGCTTTCCATCGCTAGACCATCGAAACCCAAGAAACCCAGGGCACCCTGGAGGCAAGCAGGGTGTTTCTCGGCATGGGCCTCCACTGTATCAAAAGGACGCACGATAAGGATGCAAGGATGCAAGGGCCTTGGAAGGTCATGTTGACACCTTGCGAGCTGGTCTCGGCCAACGAAAGCGGCCAAGGATGTCCTGAGGAGGCAAGGATGCAAGGGTACCCTCAGGAAGATTGCCCACCCTTGCCATGCGGGTTGGCTGTAGGGGAGAAACCTCGGGTTCGAGCTCCGAGCTTCGAGGACGTGTTCGCAGATTCTCGGCGGCCTTCATGGAGATGCCTTACAGCGGCTGCGCCTCGCTGAGAGCGCTCTGGCGGTGCTCCGCTCGTCCCAGCCAGCCGCCAGAGAGCATAATTGGACCGAAGACCATCAGGGGATGGGTTCAGGGTTAGCTTCATGAAAAACTCTGTCCGCCGCGCGAAACGAAACGGAACGAAGGTACATCGAGCTGGACTGGCGACACAGCGCCGATAGACTGGCGACAGGCCTCCATCGGGCGGGGTGGGCCATCGGGCCCCTGGCGGCAATTAATGGGCGACTGGGGGTCAATGCATTCCTCCCCTGAGCCTATCACTCCCTCACGTCGCCCCTAATCCCTCTGCTGATCTCTGGGGGTCTCCAGGAATCTCCCAAATCCCCAGACACCTGCAGAGGCCTCCAGACCGGAGAGATCTGGACGGCACGGAGAACGATGAAGAAGCTCGATCCTCCCTTCTCCTCCCTTTCCTCCTTCTCCAACTCCTCCTCCTTCTCCTGCTTCTCCTTTTCCTCCTCCTCCTCCTTGTCCTCCTCCCCTTCCTCCTCTTCTTCCTCCTCCTCCTCCTCCTCGTCCTCCTTCTCCTCCTTCTCCTCCTTCTCCTCCTCCTTCTCCTCCTTCTCCTTCTTCTCCTCCTCCTCAACCTCCCTCCCCCTCCTTGCACAGAGGCTGTTGGCGTCACCGCGACGCCCTCCACCTGCGCCACCGCCTGCCCAGCGCCACACGAGGAGTAGAAGGAGGAGGAGGAGGAGGAGGAGGGGGAGGGGGAGGAGGAGGAGGTGGAGAAGGAGGAAAAGGAGAGAGATGATGATGATGATGATGATGATGATGATGATGATGATGATGATGATGATGATGATGATGATGATGATGATGATGATGATGATGATGATGATGATGATGATGATGATGATGATGATGATGATGATGATGATGATGATGATGATGATGATGATGATGATGATGATGATGATGATGATGATGATGATGATGAGGATGATGATGATGATGATGATGAGGAGGATGATGATGATGAGGATGATGATGATGCTGATGATGATGATGTTGATGATGGTGGTGATGATGATGCTGATGATGCTGATGATGATACTGATGGTGATGTTGATGATGCTGATGCTGATGATGGTGATGGTTGTGGTGATGATGATGATGATGATGATGATGATGATGATGATGATGATGATGATGATGATGATGTGGTGATGATGATGCTGCTGATGATGATGCTGATGCTGATGCTGATGCTGATGATGATGATGAGGAGGAGGAGGAAGAGGAGGAAGACGGACTCCTGGCCTGCATCTCCAGCAACGTCCAAGGAACGATATGCAATCGCTGCGTTCGGGCACCTCCCACCCACAACCACCCTTGCCCAAGGACCCAGGGCTCCGAGAACAGTCGATGAGGACACGACTCCAATGACTCCGCCGAAACTACGAGGAATCCCCGAAATAAAATTTGGGAAACGCGGCCACGTCAGGGCCACGTGGGTGTCACCGCTTGGGGGAATCTCAAAATTCGGGTGACACCTGGTTTCCAAGTTTCTGAGGACCGTATACCGAAGTCGACAGGTATCCCAGGTCTCAGGGCCAGTACACAAGTCCGCTCACATCATGGACTTGGTGATTAGCGGGCCAGAACTTGGGAGTCCGGCGGCCTTGTGCACCCAGCGGTCGAACATCGCTGGCAGCCGGTGCAAACGCCCGAGCAGAATCGAAGCTCCCCACCAACACGACGAGGACGAACAGGGGGCCCCGCCCCCCCCGGCCCTGCCCCGCCCCTCCCCCCCCTCTTGCGGCCGCCTGGGCCGCCTCTGGGAAGGACGCCACCCCGACGACTCCGCCCGGTGCCCGCGCCCCGAGCCTCGGAGACCTCGAGGCTCTCCCTGGCTGGCGGGGTGGCCGTAGGCCGAGCCGCCCTCGCTGGGCGCAGAGGCGCCCGCCCGCTGGGGGCACACCCCTCCACGGCGAATGGTGCCCGCGGGTGGTGACCTCGCTTTCGCGGTGCCTGCACCGTTTGGGCCACACCCGAGCAAAATCTGCCCCGCCCCCGTCCTCCTCCCGTGCCGACGCCCTGGGAGACGGCCTGCAGCTCCTGCATGGCCTCCAGCGGCAGGCCCAGGTGCGAGTCCACGGGGAACTTGCTCGCGCGGTACTTCCCCTGGGCACTGAGGCGCCCCGCCCAGCCCCTCCTCGTCCCCCCCTCTTCTCCGCCCCCCCCTCCTCCTCCTCCTCCTCCTCCTCCTCCTCCTCCTCCTCCTCCTCCTCCTCCTCCTCCTCCTCCTCCTCCTCCTCCTCCGTTTCCTCCATTCCTTCCTAATAGATAACTCCTCTCTGTCGCACGCCGAGGCCAGTCTGAAGGACAAGCCAGGCGTTTCGCCTCACGTTTCGCCTGAGCCTTCCTTACCATTCGGGATTCCAACATGTGGCTCTCTCGCCATGGCGCGCGCCAATCCGTATTATACATTTAAAGAACGTCACTGGTAGAGGGCGAGTGATTATCAACATGCGGTTCTCCCCAGAACGCCGCGGGAATTCGATTGAAACGTTGGAAGAATATCATGGATTAAGGACGGCCTGTGTCCAAAATGTGGCCCTCATCTTAGCGCGCATTCGATTAAACACATTGCAAGAGTTTCACGGATTGAGGGCGGCTCCATTTCAAACTGTGGTTCTGGCTTTAGCGAAGCGCACATTCGTTTTCAAGTGTTGCAGGGGTCACAAAAAAATACCCATGGTCAATGTACCACGCGAGTCAGGATTGTCAGGGCGCAACAAATACATTGAATCGCGATATCAAAGTCCCAGGGGTGGTGTTCAGGGACGATTCAGGAAAACCAGAAGCAACAATTAACTTGGCGTTTGGAATCCAACAACAATATTCAAACGGTTGGTTCCTAACGGGGTGTTTCCTTCAGAGGGAATGAATCCGTGTAGTGGTAGTGGCCTGTGAAGAGGGAGCGTGGAGGGAGGGTTTATTCCACCATCGTTGATGCATCTTGGGTTTGCACTGGCCCTCCTCCTCGAACCCCTGCCCTTGCCCCCCCCACCCCCTCCTCCAAGTCCTCCTCCTCCTCCCCCTCCTCCCCGTCCCCACCCCCCTGCGTTCCTCGCATCCCCCCTCCCTCTCTCCTCCCCGTCCCCCCTGTCCTTCCCGCCCCCACTCCTCCTCCTCCTCCTCCTCCTTCTCCTCCTCCTCCTCCTTTTCCTCTTTTTCCTCCTCCTCCTATTCCTCTTCCTCCTCCTCCTATTCCTCCTCCTCCTCCTCCTCCTCCTCTTCCTCCTCCTTTTCCTCCTTCCTCCCCCTTCTCCCCAGTGCACAGTTGGCCGCCCACTGTTTTGTTTCTTTCGCGCGGCAGCGCAGCGAGCACGAATGCTGATCGAAATGCCTGCGTTACTGCGAGAACTTGTTTAATGTTGTGCTGCACCAGCATTGGCACCGCAACGAATTTCTTGTTAGCATTAATGGGCGTCCTGAAAGTTGCGTGCCAGCATCGGCTGACTGGCTCCATTTCCTCATCGTTTTTTCCCTCCTCCTCTCCTTGTTTTCCTCTTCCTCCTCCTCCTCGTTCTCCTCTTTCTCCTTCTCCTCCTCCTCCTCCTCCTCCTCCTCCCCCCTTACTACTTACGAAAATGGGCGCCTACGATACTCTGACAAGCGGCGCAATGGCAACGGCCACTTTGCTGCAATCATTGTGTCGGGGCGTTTGTCGCCGCACGGACTTCCCTGTAATTCCATCAAACAATATGTGCGTGCGCATCGAAATCATCCGGCGCCTTCCGGTCGCAACGCCAAAAGAGTTCGGAAAATACAGAAGTCTGTATCTGATTTGTTTAAGAGACCGCCTGTTCTGCCATGAAAACAAGTTGCACGCATTCTGCCACAAGTGCGTTCGATGCGCGCTACCGTAATACATATATATATATATATATATATATATATATATATATATCATATATGTATATTGATATACATATGTATATAAAAACTCCCCATTGATAAAACAGGTTTCGGCCACTGCGGGCACGCAAGAAGGAATATTGCTTTACTCGTGTAGCAAATGCACTTCGTTCCCATCGCAAGCGAAGATGATATTTTGTTGCGCCGAATGAACACAATGCAGCGATATGGTACCAATCGTCCTAGTGACTGTCGGAGTACCAGAGTTATTAAAACGCTTCTCACACTCCATCCAGAATAGCATATCGAATCTGTATCAGACCACCAATTGCTCGCTATCGCTGTCACCGGTGTTCCCATCAAGGGGCTCTGAATGAGCAGCAAAAGAAATAACATCACCACCATCGCTGTCCTGACTCTCGTTTATCTTCCCTTCTGTCTCAGAAAGTGTCTGCCCAGTGCCTGGTTGCATTGACGTAGGGTTCAACATGTCGACCCGACCCATCTTGTTAGAAAGAGAGTCACATTTGCGAACGAGTGATTGTGGCTCTGGTGGTTGCGGCCGCCCATGAAATCCATAAGCTTTGTCCATAACGTTATCGACTCTTTCCTGGCTGTGGTGCTGTGCTTTGAAGCATAAACTGACAGCCCGCCACCTGGTTCAGTGTGCAAGCGCGCTGCTGAAATTCCTGTTCATTAGCTCGATCTGCGCAATGGAATCCGAATTCTTCTCCCCAAGCAGAGCAACACAAGAAAGCGCGAATACTTGTTGGGTGATATGAGAATCAAGCGACTCCATGTGTGCCAGTATGCTTTCAGCCGTGATGCGCCTATTTCGACGACGTTGAGTGTCGGCCCAGACCTGCTCGCGAGGAACATCTCTCTGCGGTTGCCAACTAGCTGTCCATCGCTGAGGTAACATCGCTGCAACGGCCACTCATCAAATTCACGTGGGGCCTACTTGCTGTCCCTTGACCCGCGTTTTCCTTTGAAAACTCTCTGGGGGGCTCCAAGTCATCTGACTGGGGCCGCTATGTCTACCCGGGAGGCATCTTTCCTTTTTCAAGGGCATCACCTATCCTACTTCCATGCTTGGAGAAGAGGTTCGTGCGCGGCGATCCGAATGCGCGGGGGCAATGCCCCCCCCCCACCCCCCCCGCAGGCTCTGCGCCAAAAGAAACCGCGACATCTCATCGACCTATGGGCGGGGCCAAGCTGCAGCGGGAGACCTCAGCATGGGGGGGCGGGCCGCTGCAATTGCGGCGCCTCGGCCGTGGCAGGTCGCGCTGGGACTGCCCTTGGCGCCAGTCTCGACTTGGAGCTGGGTCTGAACGATGGCAGTTTTTTCCGCGCGCTTCCCGCCCGCGCGCCCGACGCTTGGCCTCGCGCTGCCGGTCGGTCCGAAAAACTATGTGCCATGGATCTCTGGGGCGTGGCAAGCAGCGCGCGCGGCAATGGTGTTGAGCCGTTGCTGGGCTCGACTGGCTAGCTCATGGCCGGCTACGGGGCGCCCCCCCCCCCCCCCCCTCGTCGCGCGCATCAGCGCGCGCATCCGCGAGCCGATGCGCTTGGGGAACCTGGCTCCCTGAGCCTGCTCCACCGAGAGTTGGGCCTTGATTTTGCAGACGGCAATCGGACCGTCACCAGCCGCCTCCCCCCCAACAAAAAAAACAAAACAACATCTTATTACTCACGCGCAGTCCTGCGGGCCTTTCCTGATCCCGTCGACGCCGTTCTGCGCGTCTGCAACTAGCGCCGGCGGGCCAGTTGCGAAATGGGCGGCCTTCGAGACTGCGGCGAGCTATCGGAATGCTTCCAATGGTCGAATGGGCCATGCGCCCCAGCCAGGGGCCCCCGTCCTGAGCATGGCGAGACCCCGTCTGCAAGCAAAACTCGGAATCCCTTGACCATCGCCCCCCAGGCCCGGTCTTTTAAAGCGCCTTGCGCGGGGGCGGGGGGGCTGGTTTATTGGGCCGGCTTCTTCGGGCCGAAAATGGGGAGCCTGGTTAATATATGCGTTTTCGCGTATTCATTGTTCTGCTCAAGTTGTTGCTGCAATTCGCATGGTGCTCCTTTTTTCGCAGCCCATTTTGCGCGTCCTCATCGCCATGGTCGTTGTCGTCGTTCTCATACTCATGATCATCATCACCAACGTCGCCATCATCGCCATACATCACCACCACCACTTCCGTAACAACATGACCAACGTTCGCATTGCAATCCGCTGCGATCGTTTTCACCTCGCGACCGACATCTCGAGTAAAGAACGCCGGCTATTTCGCAGAGGGGGGCCCAGAATATTGAGGCCCCCAGTTGACGGGGGGGGCAGGACATCCGGGCGACTTAGGTTGCGATTGAAGGGGGCCGGGTATTTTATGGGGGGGGGGGGGGGGCGATTCTTCCAACTGTCTCGAACAACCTTCAAGGCGCTTGCTTTCAGATCTGTCTGCGGCGACGCGAAATCGATGGGCCCCCCGTCTTGGATGCCCCAGCGGCGCGTCGCGTCAGCCGTGAAACCTAAATCATACAAAACGGCAAGCGTGACTCTGCTCCATCTGTGGCTGGCTGGCTCGGGCTCCGCCCAATCATTCCGCGGCGCAGTCTCCAGTGCCGGGATGGTGTCCAGGGCGAAGCTAGGCAGGATGGTGACCCATTCCTTGCGCGATCTGAGTCTGCCCAAACATATGGCATCTTGAATGGGAATATCGCGCGGGTCGCGGCCGTCGCACAGCCGCCCTGCTATCGGCCAATCATCCCCGAGGTCTGTGCGCGCGTGCGAAGTAGCGCTGGCGGCGCGATCCCTGGCCCGAAGCTGCCCGCGGGATATAGCCTATCTTAGCCAACTAGTTATATTGCGCGCTGACGTGACCTCTCGCGTGATCATCTGGCCCCTGTCTGCCCTGGCCTGCCCTGTTTGGCGCGTGACGTGACTCGGCGCAAACATTGCATCATGCACGTTGCAACAGTCGACAAAACATGCGCCTCTATGGCCCGCTGCCCCCGCGCTGGGCACGGATCGCGCAGCGGGCATTTCACCTCGTCGAAAAGAAGAACAATTGCAGGCAACATGGGGGGTCCAAGGCAGAAGTCGGATCACCCAACGAAGAACTTCAATTGGCAGCGCGCGAAGACAAGGATACATGGTTGGCACATGCTGTGGGACATCGGGTTTGGAGGGCAATCTGGACCCCGCGCGCAGGCCGGCCGCCGCAGCATGGGCCATTGCGAAACAGACCTGGGCAACTCATGGGCAAAGTAAA